ATCAAGAGCATTCAGAAATACCTCTCCACTGGGGAGCCAAGCAGAGCCTCCCTCATTCACAAAATGTTCAAATAGATACACTCTATGGAAAATATATTCTCAGACTATAACAAGATTATACCAGGTTTTGTTTTGTTTTTTTTCAAATTGGCTCTTAATAAATCCTCTTAAATGAAGAATCCTCATTTGGCCTACAAAAAGCTATAGCCCTAAAATGATATATGCAAGTGTCTTGTATTTCAAGCTTTGCTTCTGCCAGATATCCCCTGCACACATTCACCTCCACAGAGAGGGGAAGGAACTGGCCCCCAGTCCTCATCACAAGTAACAGATTGAGGGACTCGGCCTGAGCAGCTGCTTCTCCAGCCACATGTGACACAGCAACCAGAGGAACACAAGGACTCCCTTTGGGAGGATGACCCATGGCACAGAATTGGAGTATGCACTCCGGAGGATTCCAAATATTTTGCGTATGTTTCAGTGTGAAAAGATGCAGCATTTGATGTCATAGAATAATAGAATGATTTGGGGTGGAAGGGACCTTAAAGATCATCGAGTTCCAACCCCCTGCCCTGGGCAGGGACACCTCCCACCAGCCCAGGTTGCTCCAAGCCCCCTCCAACCTGGCCTTGAACCCCTCCAGGGATGGGGCAGCCACAGCTTCTCTGGGCAACCTGGGCCAGGCTCTCACCACCCTCACAGCAAAGAAGTTCTTCCTAGGATCTCATCTAAATCTTATCTCTTCCAGTTTGAAGCCATTACCCCTCCTCCTATGACTACATGCCCTTGTAAAATGTCTCTCTCCAGCTTCTCGTAGGTCCCCTTCACATACTGGAATTTTCAGATACTGGAATTTCAGTATATACTGACAGGTAATGTTTTATTCTGTGTGGCACCATTCCTTAAGACATGGCATAGATGGCATGACACAGGAAACTGGCATGAGGGCAGACAGACAGTCATGGTCTAGTGATGTACTTTGAAAAGAAATTAAACAGTCCCTAAGAAAGAAGGATCTTCCCACTATTAGCAGTCCACCCACAGGTCCAGCTGTGGAACATCTGACAGGCAGATGGACTGTTCATTTCAACAACGGAAGAATCACTTTCCTCATCTTATAGAAAAGATCAAAATTCAAACAGGGTTTGAAGTATCTTTGTCTTCTCCCTCCAGCACTGTCTAAATTATCTTTTAAAGTACTAAAGGGCAGAGATACACATTAGGTCATTTTCTTAAGGAAGTTCCTAACAAACTTCAGGCTACTGGTAATTGGTTAGACTTAACGAAGAAAAGTGATTTAAATATAATAAAAATTAAACAATAAGAATTACTATCAGAAAAAAAATTAAATGTCCCTTCCCCCCAAGAACAGCATGCTCAAACAACAGCTCAGAAGCAGGACTCCACTGCACATCTGCAACATCTGAAACTCACCTGGGTTTCATTTCCAGATGCAGAACACAGCTCAAAGCCTGTCCCCAAAACAAGTCACTAAACAAGAGCTGGCCTGAATTAAACATTGGATCCACAACGCACAACTTCCAAAAGTCAACTGCTATCTTAATTCTAAAGTGTTTGTGTTTGGTAGCTAAAGGAAAGGAAAACTTATTTGAATTTTATTCCAAATTTCACATTAAAGAAACAACAACAACAAGAGATGTGAAAATAAAATCCTACTTTTGTTTTCTGTTACTCAAACATGGCATTCTTTACTTACAGGAACAGATATATGTATACAATAAACTTGTATCACCCTGAATTACTGGCTTTCCAGCCAAATACACACAGAGGATGTTATGTTCTAAGATGTCATATAGCTATTATTCAACAGTTGACATTTTTCAGCAGCTTGAGTGTGAAGAAATTTGCAGGACCATAGTCCTCTTTTGAGCTGTACACGGCTGTCGTGACCAGGAAAAAAGGCTGGGAAGAAAGTCCCTGTGCTTTAGGCTGCGCTAACCATGACAGGGAGCCTCTCCCAGTACATCTTCCCCAACTATTCTGAAGTCAGTTCTGAACTCCACACCAAACTAGGAGATTACAAAGAAATTATATACCAGAAAGTATCACAAGAACCAAAATAGGAATTGATCCACTGATCCATATACATGTACCCTTCTTCACACCCAAGGTGGTGTCAAGGTGCTGCTTCGGTCAAGTATTTCTGCATTGCTCCACATTGCAGGTACAGGTTGCTCTCATAAGGTTCTCCAAATCCCTAATCATCACAGAGACCTTCCTTTCACTTGTTGGCATAGTCTTTTTGAATATGGGTGAGCAGAATTACATACTGTATTTTGGGTGACTTTTCACAACTACTTCAATGTAATGGCATTAATATTTCTTTATCCCTTAGTGATCTCATCTAATAGAAGTTGATCTCATCTGACTAATATCAGTTGTTTTGATGCTATGGGGTGCTTTTACAAATTTTACTTAATCAGTGGAAAGGCAGATATCAAACACACCTGGCCTTGACTAAAACAGAAGGACTTTATTTCATGGGCTAACTCTACCTCCCTTGTCACCTTGCTGGGGCTTGCATGCCTCAGCAGCAGAAGCTCAAGCTAACTTTTATACCTGCAGATTATTACAGCTGAGAAAAACCCCACTAGATTTCAGATGAGTCATTTTAGGTTTTCCAGACATTGTCATGCTTAATGGGAAAAATATATCATCAATAAAAAAAAATTCAAAAGTATTTCCTCTTGTCTGCAGAAAATACAAAAATGCCTCAACACATCAACCTTATAGAGCATCTCCCAGTGGGAACGGTTTCCTATTATGCGCAGGAACAAGCTCATCTTCTTTAACACATTTCCTCAGTGACTCTACAAAGCCAGCTCCAGTTGCTGTCTGCACTCCAGCACCTCACCAAGCAGAGGGAAAGGCATCAAGAGGGAACAAATAAGGGTAAGTTGTTAGTGAGGCATCTCACAAACTACTCCTTTCTGCATTTTTGCTACAGTCCTTATACCTATTTGATTGGGAATGTCTTGCTGTTCGTATACTAAACCAGAAGAACCTATCTTTTCTAGAGACATTGCTTAAATATTTTTTTTCAGTCAGATGACATAGTCTGTCCTTTTAAGATGTCCACTTGGAAAAAACTAGCTCTAGTAGATTTCTTGAAAAATAACAGATGAGTACCTAAATTCAGACCAAAGATATTCAAACTATTCGCTAACAAAGACATAGGAGATTGTTAAGATTAATATTTCATCTCCTCTGTGACAAAGTTCATAATTTTATGTAACTTTGATCCATTCCAAAATATAGGATATAAAATATTTAGATCAGGAATCTGTCTAACTTTATTTTGAAAATAAAGCTGTCTAACTTTATTTTGAAAAGCTAATTACACAATCCTTGTAAGAAAACTGAAGGAAATTAACTTAAATCAATCCATTTTCCCTACAATTTTAGTTTTTATAAAATGAAACTTCTAGAAAAAAAATAGTCTCAGCTTATTTTAAATTTTTAAGAGGAAGACTTTTTTTTAGTTCTAAAATACCTCTATACTTGAAAACATTATTTTGAAGTAATTTTTTTCCAAACTCCATTCTGCTTTAGTATAATTTAAGCTCCTTATTGCCTTAGAAGGTAAAAAACTTTTTTACTCTGTATTTGTTGTTGTTAAGAGGTTCTACCTACTTGCTCTTTGTCATGCTTTGTCCAGCCCAATTTTAAAATCATACTCAATTTTCTTCTAATGCTTGTCTGCAAATGAAGTTACACAACTATTTTCACCTTCTTCAGATAAAAAGGAATTTTCTTTAAGTGTATAGTGTATAAAAACCCAACACTTTTTACAGTATCTGCCATTCTCCAAGTAATATCCAAGACAATATACAGTCAGATATTTTTGCTACAGTACTTACTTATTCCAAATGAATTTGAAAAAAAAAAAAAAAAGAAGAAAATACATTTTAATTGTGGGATGTATTTAAATCATAAAGAAAGATGGTTTCAAGACTGGAAGTTCCCCAGTTTGTATTACAAATCCCAATCTGGTCCGCGGCTAGCTATGTATTTTTAAATGCAGAGAAGTAGTAGGAAGTATGACTAGTAGTGTAAGTAGTAGTAGGAATAGCTCTAGAGGTTTTAAAATAGCAAGTATAAGGCAATAAAATGGAAGTCTAGTGGGATTCACTCTGCAGAAGTGGGAATTATGTAGCAAAAAGGATAATTACCTGCTAGGTCAAAGCACAGTTATTTAATCCTTAAAAGATAAGTACCAGATATGCAAAACTTCCAATTCTGTATTCACCCAAATCTTAAACTCTGTGTTCTCAGAGATGCATGAAGCTATAAGGCAGCAAAAAAGAACTTTTTGCTACATAAAAATGTGTACTTCTTAGTTAGAGTCATAAGGTTCTCCAAATCCCTAATCATCACAGAGACCTTCCTTTCACTTGTTGGCATAGTCTTTTTGAATATGGGTGAGCAGAATTACATACTGTATTTTGGGTGACTTTTCACAACTACTTCAATGTAATGGCATTAATATTTCTTTATCCCTTAGTGATCTCATCTAATAGAAGTTGATCTCATCTGACTAATATCAGTTGTTTTGATGCTATGGGGTGCTTTTACAAATTTTACTTAATCAGTGGAAAGGCAGATATCAAACACACCTGGCCTTGACTAAAACAGAAGGACTTTATTTCATGGGCTAACTCTACCTCCCTTGTCACCTTGCTGGGGCTTGCATGCGTCAGCAGCAGAAGCTCAAGCTAACTTTTATACCTGCAGATTATTACAGCTGAGAAAAACCCCACTAGATTTCAGATGAGTCATTTTAGGTTTTCCAGACATTGTCATGCTTAATGGGAAAAATATATCATCAATAAAAAAAAATTCAAAAGTATTTCCTCTTGTCTGCAGAAAATACAAAAATGCCTCAACACATCAACCTTATAGAGCATCTCCCAGTGGGAACGGTTTCCTATTATGCGCAGGAACAAGCTCATCTTCTTTAACACATTTCCTCAGTGACTCTACAAAGCCAGCTCCAGTTGCTGTCTGCACTCCAGCACCTCACCAAGCAGAGGGAAAGGCATCAAGAGGGAACAAATAAGGGTAAGTTGTTAGTGAGGCATCTCACAAACTACTCCTTTCTGCATTTTTGCTACAGTCCTTATACCTATTTGATTGGGAATGTCTTGCTGTTCGTATACTAAACCAGAAGAACCTATCTTTTCTAGAGACATTGCTTAAATATTTTTTTTCAGTCAGATGACATAGTCTGTCCTTTTAAGATGTCCACTTGGAAAAAACTAGCTCTAGTAGATTTCTTGAAAAATAACAGATGAGTACCTAAATTCAGACCAAAGATATTCAAACTATTCGCTAACAAAGACATAGGAGATTGTTAAGATTAATATTTCATCTCCTCTGTGACAAAGTTCATAATTTTATGTAACTTTGATCCATTCCAAAATATAGGATATAAAATATTTAGATCAGGAATCTGTCTAACTTTATTTTGAAAATAAAGCTGTCTAACTTTATTTTGAAAAGCTAATTACACAATCCTTGTAAGAAAACTGAAGGAAATTAACTTAAATCAATCCATTTTCCCTACAATTTTAGTTTTTATAAAATGAAACTTCTAGAAAAAAAATAGTCTCAGCTTATTTTAAATTTTTAAGAGGAAGACTTTTTTTTAGTTCTAAAATACCTCTATACTTGAAAACATTATTTTGAAGTAATTTTTTTCCAAACTCCATTCTGCTTTAGTATAATTTAAGCTCCTTATTGCCTTAGAAGGTAAAAAACTTTTTTACTCTGTATTTGTTGTTGTTAAGAGGTTCTACCTACTTGCTCTTTGTCATGCTTTGTCCAGCCCAATTTTAAAATCATACTCAATTTTCTTCTAATGCTTGTCTGCAAATGAAGTTACACAACTATTTTCACCTTCTTCAGATAAAAAGGAATTTTCTTTAAGTGTATAGTGTATAAAAACCCAACACTTTTTACAGTATCTGCCATTCTCCAAGTAATATCCAAGACAATATACAGTCAGATATTTTTGCTACAGTACTTACTTATTCCAAATGAATTTGAAAAAAAAAAAAAAAAGAAGAAAATACATTTTAATTGTGGGATGTATTTAAATCATAAAGAAAGATGGTTTCAAGACTGGAAGTTCCCCAGTTTGTATTACAAATCCCAATCTGGTCCGCGGCTAGCTATGTATTTTTAAATGCAGAGAAGTAGTAGGAAGTATGACTAGTAGTGTAAGTAGTAGTAGGAATAGCTCTAGAGGTTTTAAAATAGCAAGTATAAGGCAATAAAATGGAAGTCTAGTGGGATTCACTCTGCAGAAGTGGGAATTATGTAGCAAAAAGGATAATTACCTGCTAGGTCAAAGCACAGTTATTTAATCCTTAAAAGATAAGTACCAGATATGCAAAACTTCCAATTCTGTATTCACCCAAATCTTAAACTCTGTGTTCTCAGAGATGCATGAAGCTACAATTTAGCAAAAAAGTGCTTTTTGTCATATTAAAATATGTACTTCTTGGTTAGAATCTTCATACTTTCAGAAAGAAGATTTTTAGACAATTTTCAATCCCTTAAGGCCGGTTCTGAAAACTGACTTCAACACGCAATTTTAACACTAGACCTATGAAGATATAGAAACAGAATCAAAATCTTTGCCTAAAACTAACCTAGTTTTTACCATCATCTTCTGGTGACATTCCGCTCCAGAACTTTGAACAATAATATATTTTGTACAATTATGAGGTAAAAGCATTGAACTAGAGACAAAATGGAAGCACTGTGCTCTTTCCCAGTTGTATTTCTGGTACTTGATGTTAGGAAGAATGGCTCTGTGGGAAATAAAGCAAGATAAAATCTTCTTCCAAAAACCTAAACCTCACGAGTAATCCTGAGAAAGAAATAGCTGTGTTCTGGTTCTGCATTTAGAACCATGCTACTGAATCATACTTATCAGAGTGTTATTCTTATTCTCTGGGCAGTTGAAGCATGAACAAGACAGAATTCATCGCTGTTGCGGGCTTTGCCCTGTCATTGCTGTTCCACATGACCCGAGCTGAAGTCTGTCCTCCCTCCTGCTACTGTAAGTCTCTGGGGGAGATGAAGGGTTTGCTGGTAGACTGCAGCTCGAGGAGGCTGAGGGAACTGCCGGCCTTGCCCAGTAGCACCAAGAGGCTTTATCTACACAACAACAGCCTGACCTCGGTTCCTCCCGGTGCCCTGGACAGCTTGCACGGCCTGGAGGAAGTGAGGGTATTTGACAACCCTTGGAACTGTGACTGTCACATCCTGTACCTAAAACTCTGGTTAGAAGACATCTCGGCACCCTCTCTTGAGAGCACCAGATGCGCGAGCCCAGCTCCCGTGAGGATGAAGGCCTTGAGGCAGCTGACTGGGAACGAGCTGGGGGTTTGTAAGAGGCTTCTCCCAATCAAGTGTCTCGAGTTCTTTTGGCGAGACCTCATTTTAATTGCTGGAGCAATAATTGCCCTGATTTTAGTAGCATGGGCACTGAAATTCTCCAAAAAGCTGGTCTGCCAAATAAACCTAAGCCTATATCACTGTAAGGGCCGACTGCTGGGGAGGCACACCTCCAAAAACCACAAGATACTGTGAGCTGTTCCCTACCACGAGCTTGAACAGAAACAGCAAACTATTCTACCACAAAACCGCATGGTTTTAATGGTGAACATGCCATAAACAGGTCCAAGGGCTCAAAAGCTGGGTCCTCAGATAGGCAAGTTTCATGTCATTTCCTTTCAAAAATAAGTATCAACAGGCGAGTTTCATTCTGCTGCCATCTACTCATATGAAAAGCAGCTTCTAAATTTTTAAAAATCATTTAACTTAGCATTTTTCTGCTGAATTCTCAGCTCTTACAGCAAGATGATCTACATCCCCAAATCCTACACTTCTTAAGATATGGAGATGAACACCATTTGTATTATTTCAGCAATTCTTTTCTCATTCAGAAGTTGTGTTCGCAACCCGTTACCCCCTCACGCTGTCCCAATGGGCTTGGTAGGACCACTCTTGTGTGCAAACAATTTCAAGCATCTCTTCCTCACCTTCAGGAATTTCCTGCCAGCAAAGTGAATGCATCCCTTATTGAATATGCTCAAAGATGGACTGGTAATGAGAATATAATCCGTAAAAACTATTTTAGATATTGTTGAATTTCATAGAGGGTGAACACGAAAAAAAATTCTAAGAGTAATTGAAATAATGGATGTTTATTAAAGACTCGCACTCATCCAATTTTGATTTCTTTCACATTTCTACACTTTTCATATTAAAAACCTAAGAAATTTTTACAGTTTGTCTTCCAGTTTTACTACTGATATTTGATACACTAGATTTTCTGCAACAGCTTTGAAGAGGATGTACTCTCTTGCCTTTTTGTGTCCTCTATCCTCATAGAAAAATTGTTGTGGTGACTCAAACGTACTGTTTTCTCCCTAACCTGGTAATTCACAAGGCTCCAAGAACAACAATTCATGCTGTCACCCTGCCTGGTCTGGTAAAGGTAGTTGGGAGATCTCTGAAGGTCTCCTACACTTAATACTACTGTGGGCAGATCAATTTAGGAGACATTTTGCAAATGCTCTGCCTAGCCCCAAACCTGAGCCAGGCATTAGAGGTTATCTGCTGAAGACACCAAAGACTGCTTGGATCCTTACCTAGCACCTTGTGATGAGTGGGGTTCCTTGTTAAAGCACAAAATACCCCAAGCGAAGCTGGGGTTAGCTTTCTTCCAATAGGTGATTTTGCCATTACCAAAAATGTGCTGTCACTTCAATAAGATGAGACTCGTTCCTAGCCACAAACACTCAAATCCAAGGCAGCAGAAGCTTCACAGGGACATTCCCAGGTCCCTCTTGCCACTGCCACTCCAGTGATACAGAGCCAAACTGTCCATGCTGACTGCTGGCACCGTTCTCAAGCAGCTTTAGAAGAGACGTGTTGCTGTCTGGAATGTATCTTAACTGTTAGTCCGCTCACTCTCCTGCACTAGCAGGGACAGGCCAATCTGAGACACCACCACTTGTCAACCTAAATTGATGCCAATTCAGGATGAGCCACTTGCCCCTCTCTGTGACACAAGGAACGGCCACCAAGTACAGTGGAACTGCTGGAAGAACCTCTGAAGCGCAGACAGATTTGGGGAAAGGACATGAGCCATGGGTAGAGGGTTACACAATTTATAACGTAGTGTAGCATGGGGCTTTAGATTGAGAAAAGGAAAGGAAGAGTCAGATATTCTCCCTGTGCTGTAAACGAATTAATGATCTGAGAGATAATACACCCATTGCAATGTTAAAGTCTGCAAATGATACATAGTGGGGAAAAAGAAGAGAGAAGTCATAAATGCAAAGAGCAGTGGGTTACTCGGAGTGCCAAGAAATCGAAAGCAAGATTGTACATCTAGAGACAAAAGATGGGTTGAGGACTCAATTCAGAGAAAGCAAATAATCTGGTAAGAATGATCTCCCATGTACAACATTGCAGCAAAGGGCTAATGTGATCTTCTCTTGTTAAAAGAGGGAATAGCATTTAGGGATAGAAAGATTTATTTACTTCCATGTTTAGACAAACTACAATAATCTAGTATCAATGTCTACAGATGAGGAAGAATCAGATGCAGAAGAATCAGAAAAAACACAGTAATGTAAATAAAGGATTGGAGAATATATCTTAAAAGGAACTTGATCAACTTCATTTAATAAAGAGGAATTTAAGGAATGACAAGATGACAGCTTGTATGAATCTACATGAAGATAAATTTGTTAACAAAGGGCTGGGACCAGAAATTAGAACATCAGACTAGAAACAAGACTCAAAATCAAACAGTGGAAACACAAAAACACCTCGTCAAATGCCATAGTGAATTCTACAGCTTAACCAACATTGGGCATTTTTTCAAATTGGTAGGCGCTACCTGAAATGAGAACTATTTTAACAGAACTGTACGTGACACCTAAACCATTACAACCATTCTATTCGCTTTGGTCACCTGCAAAATTTATGGTGGGACAAGCCACGAAGTGAGAGCCCACAATGGCAGCGCATCACAGGGACATCCTTACTGAGCACCAGCAACATCCCTGAGGAGCTCAGTCTGTGCCAGCGGAGCAGCCCTTCCACACCCCACAGCAGCAGGAATATCCCACCCTACCGTCTTCAATTGCACATCGCACTCTTCACCATGAGGAACTCAACGTGCAGCACAGAATTGGCTTTTTACAGTGTCGCATCCCTGCGGCAGGAGATGAACCATGTAACCTAGAAAGAGCAGGGCTCAGGAAGGCTGCATCACGCTCCCGTGCAGACCTGAGTAAAATTGTGTCTTCAGATTTACGTGTACATTTCCATCAGGTGAGCACAAACACTCAGAATTTCCCTGGCTTTATTAAATGTTATTCTACTTAAATAACCTCTGCGGGAGAGAATTTCAGAGAAATACACAGGAACACGGTGGTGTGTGCACTTAGACAATTTTAGAATATTTTTGCTCTGCTGAGCTTTTCAATTTTTTAAAAGGCAACCATCATTTTGTAATAATGCGGAATATCGTAGAAGAAATGCACTCTGAGATCTCTGATGGAGAGTTTCCTAAATGATATTTCTTGTTTCCCCAAAATAAAATAAATCTTTAACACTAAAAGCTTATCACTCTCTGTTGTGCCTATAAAGCCCAGATACACGTTTTCAATCCTGCCATAAAACCCAGGCCATGCAGCCCAGTGAACGTGAATAGTTACAGACCATGGCCTGTACCAAAACAACATTCAATGTGCAGGTGAAGTGCATGAAGTTGTAACTGTGCATTGGAACACTGTCATCTTGAAGGTTTGCTAGGGTAGATAAAATAATAAACCGCTTTAATTGTACAAACAGAAAAAAAAATAGCAATTAGCAAACATTTCTGCTTATACCAACCAACACACTAAATAAGACACAGAGAATACAGGGGAAAAAAAGTATTTGAGAGAACATGTCTTCTGACCCCGTAAGAGGAATGAAGAGGGAATCTCCTCTTTGGCAGTATTTCACATTACACTTTAAAAAGTGTTGTATTTATCACTATTGAACCATTTGGCTTTTCTCTGAAAAAGGGAAAGCTCCACCTACCTCTGAAAAGGGGAAAGCTGGAACTGCTAATTAAAGGCTCAAGAGCAACATTCAACCCTTTATCTGGCAAGGCCACCATGTCCTGCTTGAGCCATATACTCCATCAAAGTGCATAAATAATGCTGCAGTTGGTAACAATGTGCAAAGACAGGAAAATACATCAGTTATCTAAGGGAAACATGCAGTCAGCACTCCCTCAGGAGTTTGCAAAGATCTCAGAAAGCAGTCCTGTATCATGCCTGCAAGAGTGCAAACTAGTGAATATATCTCTTCTCATGCTCTTTGGTAACATATGTATAATTACTGGGATTAATTACAACTGAAAACCTTGGTTCAGTATTTAGCAAGACAAGTAATCATACCCAGAATGACTGAGCAAGAACAAAAAGTTATTTTTCAACAGTTCACTAATACACAGGGTAGAATTTGCAATAAACTGCAATTCTATGTAAACTGCAGTTCCATTAATGTGGAAAATATTTGCAGGCTTTATTTATTAAGCAGAATGGTAGGTGACTCGCCTTTTCACTTGAAATGCTCAAGATTTCCTTAACATTGAAGCAAAAAGAGTTGCTCAATCTGAACAACAACTGTTTAGCTCAATGCTTGCTTTCTGCCTGGGCTCTACAGTTAGAATTCATTCCACACCCAGTGTTTGAGTTCATGCATCAGGGAACTTACTGCTTTTGCTCCTCCCGCAAATCCTCCCAGATTTTCTTTTTTTTTTCACTGTTCCATTAATTTAATACATCAACTGGAAAAAAAATAATATCTAGAACAACAGGATAATGGAGTTCATGCATCAGGGAACTTACTGCTTTTTGCTCCTCCTGCAAATCCTCCCAGATTTTATTTTTTTTTCACTGCTCCATTAATTTAATACGTCAATTGGAAAAAAATAATACCTAGAACAACAGGATAATTCCCACTAAAGCAAGTGCAATATACTGAAGTGACTAGTGCCTGCAATTTTAGTATAATAAAGGGTGGCTACAAACATAAAGGACCCTTATTAAAGGGCACACAATGTAGGATGTCAGCATGAAACAGAGGTGAAAATCACTGGGTTTGCTTTTTTAAAAAAATAAATAATATGAAAATCTGTTTTCCATATACAGCAAGCTGCTCAGGTACCTTCCCAAACACATATATGTCTCACATGCCCTCCAATGAAACATGAAAGCAAAAAGAATTTATATATGTCTGTATGTGCAATTGAAGTAAGATGAGTATTGGATTCTCATAACAGTGGATTACTGGATTGCTGGTAACATGGTCTGATCACATGGCATGGAACACTCAGTATTTGGTTGTATTAATAGGTATTCTTAAACCACCTTCCTGGCTAATATTACCCCTTAAAATGACTTACAGTCGGTTCTGAAGAAACTAACTTTTACACCCTCTAGTGCTGTTTAATGGTTTACATTTTTCATACTCCCTTTTTGCCCTGACCATCTGTTCGTTATCACAAACACCATATCAAAACAATGAGTCACAAATCCTCTTGGACAAAGTAGATTATTATCTTTCAGTGCCCATCCCTACAGCCGGTCCAAAAGGGAGAAACCTGTTTTCATTAGGTGTATCACTAAGCTGTTTGCAGTTATTTTTGGTAAAGCTAGAAAAGAAAACCAGTCTGCATTATAGCCTTATTTTGCATTTCCTACTGTTTCAAAATCTGGCAAAAAAAAGCGCATCTCAGTGGAAAACTAATGAGTTTTAGAATAAAACTTGGTTATTACATCGCAGGGGTTTTGGCTGAAGATCCTTAATTCAGGTTCTAGAAATGGAATAGAACAACTTTTCTAATGATACCATTGCTAGATGAGACAATTATTTCCTTCTCAAACAAAAATTAAAATGCATCAAGTCTTCTTTTTCCCTTTTCATTTATTTACAACCATCTTTGAGCTGTAAATTTAAGTGCAGGCTACCAGATTATCAATTGATACAATCCCTTTCTTAAAAGTTGCACATTTATTTACATGACTCCCGTTCATGATGATAAACCAGTCAGTAAGAGCTCTCAGCTCTTACTGACAGAATCGTCCACATAGAGCTCTTATGTAACAGACTAACAATCCTCTAATCCCTCACCCGTGACTTGGATATAATTATATCTGCTGCTGATTAATATCTTTATGAGTGAGTAAATGAACAATAAATGGTTGCTGTTTCCTGTAAAATAATGTGATTATTTTACTCCATCACAAAACTCAGAACCATCCCTCTGCCTTCTGGCACAAAATGGTCATCAAGATGGAGCAAAGGAAGAGACAACCCTTCCAGTCCATCACGGGACAACCATTTCACAGCCAGGCTGTCAATAAGGGTGTTCTCTATCTTCTATCTTCTTTTTGTTGAAGAGAGAACTAGTGGCCAAGTCTAGCATTTTAGATCTTTTAAAACCTCCTCTGGTTTCAATGTATTAATAGACCTTGTAGTCATTTGAATTTGTCTGACCTACCAATGATGATACCACTCTGACTGGGGTGATCCTGAAAGCTCAATGGAATTACACTGGGAATAAATTCCCCCTGAAGTATTTGTGAGTTTCACTGGGGTTGCTGTGTACAACCCTCTCAGGAGGCTTACCCACACATCACACCATGCTATTCTCCACTCTGCTTAAGGGCCACAATATTATTAATGGCAGGCAATTATAATGATGAATATGCCAACAATCAGCTTTGGAGCTATAAAAAAAAACCCAAAAAAGCTCATTCCCTGTAAAACACCGTGTATCAGCTCAGAGTAGGCTGAAAGGCATAACTGCTCTGTTGAACACGACTGCCTCTGTGCATTAGTGGAGTCCAACTGTAACATCATTATGCAGTTATTGAGATGCAGCAGATTGGCTTTGCATCACTAATGCCATTTCTCTGAATGTAACCGCTCTGGATCTCTCTTCTGTGGTGTTTTCTTCACCACAGGTAGACAAGGACATAAGAATTAAAGCATTTTTGCTGATTTACAAGACTGCAAGCAACAAGGAAAAAAACTCTGGAAGAATATAAGAAGAAAACCAATAGCACAATTTCCACTTGGGCAGCAGTAGCCCGGTCAGGTCACTGGTGCTCCCCAGAAGCCTTTTTTTTTTTTTTTTTAATGAAAAATACACACCTTGCTCCTGCTCTCCAAGGAGAGGTGACTAGACAAGTGCCAGCAGCGTTCTACAAGTGACACAGAGAGGAAGGACTGATTCGTTTGGGCTCAGCACCACGAGAGTGTACATAACCCCATGGCTTTGAGGACGGAGCCAGCCTACGTCTTCCTGCCTTGGCATGAGCCTCTGCTTGCAAAAGACATGAACAAGTGCATGTCTGTGACCTAAGTTATTTTAAAAGTGATGCTTATTTATAGTAAAAATATATGTTTGCAGTAAAAAAATACATTCCACATGCTGTAGAGTCACTGAATTTGCTCGATTTCCCCCTCCATGTTCTAACGATGTTGGTAGTTTGAGAATATACATTTCTCATGTGTTTCCAATTCCCCATTCTGCAGGTGAAGGTTAAATGAACAGGATCTAAGTGTACTCAATACTTTTTTTTTGCCCCACAAAGCACAGAGGAAGCAATGTGCAAAGAGTTTTCCCTTTCACCTAGAGCAGCTCACACATTTGGGTAACAGTCTGGTCCTCCCCAGGAGCTCTTGGTACCCATGAGATGGACACACGGCTTTTTACTGTTCAGAGGGTCTTCTCTTAAATGTAAGTAATCGTTAGATATAGCTCTGAATTTGCAGTTACATATCTCCATGGCCTCACATTCAGATATAACCTGAGAGGATTCTGACTGCAAACCTCGCCTACCCTAAGGCTTCTTTGGCAATCTACATTAAATTAGTTCATACTAGATTCATACTAAAGACTAAGCACAGCTTTGTTCTTCAAATACATTGCAAAGTTAATCAGCTTGTATTATCTTTACCATTTTGCCAAGCAACTATGCATAAAAGGATTCAGATATAGTGTCCAGGTCTTAGCCCTAATTCAAAGTATTTAAGTAAGCCAAAAATGAGTAATACAAAGGAAAATATTTTTTTTCTGTGAAGTTGAACCCCACATTCATAAGATACATGTCACATAATGACAGTAATTTTCCATCTCAGTTGCACAGCTCCTGCTTGCACTGACCGGATGCGGAACTGCATCAGTAGCTGCTAGAATAACTCACCCGATAAGAAGTGTCAAACAGCAAAAGACCAAGAATAATCACAGCCCAACAGGACTAGTTACAAACAGGAACTCCCTCAGGTGAATAAGAAATTTCTTTTATTATTGAACTAGTAAACATATACTATAAGAACTAAACACTTAATGAACGTACAAAATATATGTAGAGTGGCAGCGAGACAAGCCTGTTAGTTGGTCTAACTACCACACTTGTATTCCTCAAGGTAAACTAATTAGCCAATATACGTACATTCTCATACTGGTTTTCTGTGTAAATGCACTGATTCGGGAATTATTAAAATGGGATTTGAGGCTTCACAAAACTGCTGTTTTTCTTGGATTCTTAAGGTCCACACACTTGTATGTTATGATTATATCTGAATTACATGATTTTGTTACTTTGGCCTGCCAACAGGAGGAAATGACTACACTGCAAAATTAACAATTCCCATCTAATGACTCCTTTGATAGTGCTAAGTTTATTGTAATGCTTAGTAATGCTAAGTTTATCTTGGTAATGTGCTTATCTTCATGCTTTTTCTCTTCAGAACACTACACAGAACAACTTAAAAAGTGCTTAGAGTCTGTTGCTAGAACGCCTGTAAATATTTTACTATTACATCAACTCCAATTAAATTTAGATTACACTCAATAATGGGTGTGTGACAACAAATTGCTTTAGTTGCATAACGGCCACATGCCTGCTATTTATACTGAACTCCTTCCCAGGGGCAATTTGCTCCCTGACGTACCCTCTGAGAATGCCTTTCCACAGCATATTCCCAGTTTATCCAAACAATTGCCCCTGGGCAGCAGCACTGATGTCACTTTAGCAGGCACTGCCTGACAAGTTCATTTTAGGCAAAATAAATCCAAGGCACCTGACAGAAGTTCACTTGGATTTCATTCGGCTTCACCTGCGACTTTCTTGCTTGACCATCAAGCATCCAGCATTTTAAAAACCTGAATGGCACTGTTTTACACAAGTACATTCTCTGGGAAAAGTGGATGGAGACCCTCTGAAAAGTATTAAGAAATAGGGCTAAGGAAATCCAGAGCATTCATCTTAGTCCAGGAAAAAAATAATCAGGAAAAGTCCATTCCTAAATGGCCTTGATTTAAAGGGAAGGAAGTGGCAGCAGGGGTGGATTACTGGCTCCCTTTTCCTCCTTGAATTGTTTTTTTTTGTCTCCTCTTTAGGGGTCAGAAGGTTTTTGCCTCTGATACTAATAATTATTTTTTTGGCTAGGATTCATATATTGCCTCTTATGACTGTGGAGAAGGACTATGGCACATGACACATGTATATAAAATCTGCCACCCGTTCCTATCAGCAGTAGCACAAAGCAGTGGAAGAACGTGGCAATCGCCACATCATCACAGGTTGCCTTCCAGACAGGAGAGCACTTAGAAGCAAGTGACTGTTTGACTGCCCTGAGTTTGCAAGGCAACTGCAAAAACTGGTAACTTAATTTTCAGATATGCTTATTAGAAGCTGAATTATTGGAAAGTCTAAAACTAAAATAGCAGCAATTACAACCTG